TAAAGATTTTATTTATTTATTTCAGAGAGAGAGAATGAGAGAGAGCACATGAGAGGGGGGAGGGGCAGAGGGAGAAGCAGACTCCCTGCCGATCAGGGAGCCCGATGTGGGACTCGATCCAGGGACTCCAGGATCATGACCTGAGCCGAAGGCAGTCGCTTAACCAACTGAGCCACCCAGGCGCCCACCGCTCTTCTTTTTAACATTACTTATATTTGTCTAGACTTTAAAAAAATTTATCAATAATATTGATAACATTTTTTCCTGCCTTTCTTTTCCAGTTTCAAGACCAACAGAAAGGGGGGACAAAGGTTATGTTCCATCTGTTTTTATACCCATTTCAACAATGTAAGTAACCTTAGCCACATGTAAAATATCTCTTACTGAATTTATCTTTTTTTTAAAAAAAGCATTTCTACTCGGATAGAGCCAAGTACATATACCTGACGATAAAGCATTTTAATGCTCAATGTCCCATTTGCTTTAATACACAAAGCTAGTCTTCAGGAAGCACCATAGTCTACCATGACTGGAATTATAAAGTTGCCTTTTTATATGCTGTATATTCCAGAGTACGCTGAATGCTCTGATTTCAAACAATGAATTAGGCATCTCAGTGAAACAAATAGAGGAAGCCCTAGAAATGAGTTCCTGACACAGTGTCACCAGAAGCTATTATTTTTAATCCTTTTCAACATGCACCTTGTTATCTCTTTAAGCCGAAGTGATTCAACTGAGCCACATTCTCCATCAGATCTTCTTCCCATGTCTCCAAGCGTATATGCGGTGCTGAGAGAAAACCTGAGTCCCACAACAATTGAAACTGCAGTATGTTCCCTTTCTTTTCCATTGCTGGTCAAGGGCACTCCTAATGAAGCAAATGTGGCACCTGTTAATCAAAGGGGCTGAAGTTCTGCCTGAGAAGTGAGAAAACACTTTTGTTGGACCAAATCCATGAGCATCACACTGGGTGTGTCTGTATGTTCCTGTGGGTCACTGATAGGGGCACTGAAAACAGACACCTTCACTCATTTGAACTGCTTGAAGTTCTTTCCATCAAAAGCCATCAAAGGGCAAAGTATTCCTCTTCCTCACTCATGTACACTTTGTCCCTACTTCTGCCATTGGCCACACCACTCCCCACCACTCTCCCACCTTAGTAGACAACATATATTAGTCACTATTTATAAACCTAGTTCAATATTTATTTTAGTTCAAGAACCACAAATTCCAATTTTTCTTAATTTTTACTTGCATTATTAGTCCTGTCCCAGGAGCTTCTTCAAGTAGTACATGAATTATAGTCAGTAGCAGCATAATAATACTCCTCTGAGAACTTAATCACAATCTTAAATGCAATAATGTGATTTAGGATGCATCCTATCTATTATTATTCCTCAATACCATCAAGTTATCCAGTTTACATTCAGATGAACATACGAGAATAACAGAATCTTGGAGGGACCCTGAGCCCCAAGAAATTTGATGTTGGGTGTTGGGGAGGAAAATTTTTACTTTACCCTTAGATTCCTTTGGCTATCAAAGAATTAAATTGACATGAGATGGATTAATAAAAGAAAAATAATTACTAATAAAGTACTAACAGGGGGGCCATAAGAATATGAGGCCCACAGACAAGCAATTGAGGCTTATATGCCATTCTGAGCTAAGGAGAAGGGGCTGGGATCTGGGACTTCAAAGGGATTGAAGACAATTCACAGGAAGATGAAAAGAGTAAATATTTCATAAGCAAATGTTTGCTGGGGCATACAGAAACAATGGGGCACAGAGAAGAATTTTAACAAAAATTTTGTTAAGTTCCTCCCTGTCTACCACACCTAATTCATATTATACTGTAGTTATCTATGGTGATAACTCCCTTCCTGGAGCCAGTTTCTCTAAATTCTTTTAGACAGTTAAGGGAAAGGTGGAAGTTTCTTCCTGAGCTTTTTGTTTCTTAAAAATACTCAGCCTAAAATAATCCACATGCTAAAAAGACACATTTTAGGGTGGCAAATTTTGCTCCTCTACACGGGTTATAAATCAAGTGAGTTTTAGTCCTCTCAAAGATTTCCAGGGATGGGAAAACCCATAGTCTTGTTCCAATGTTAGTTGTCTTAAATCATTTAGTTATAAGAGAACTTTTGCTACATTTTGCATTCATTTCCTCATTACATTTTTGTGGGATGAATTTTGTGAATGCTTACTAGTTAATTGGTAGAAAGATTGTGAAGTATTTAGTAGACAAAAGGGTGTTTACCTTAAAAATGATGACTTATTTGCAAAAACCAATAGTTTCCTCAAAAGTCATTTTCATTTTCCAATTTTAGATGAAGTCTCCATATTCTGCTGAATGACAAGATAAATTCTTGACACTCAAAAGAAGGAAGCAAATGAAAAAGCTTAAAGACTGATCTTTGCCAACAATCCTATCTTATTTCTTCAGCTTTGTATATACCAGTTTCCAGGAAATGGTTGAAGTCTGAAGCTCTCCTCTCACTCGCCTGACACCACCAATTGGGAATGTCCTGACTGAAATGCTAAAAACCAAAGCTTCAGATAAACTTACAAGATAAGACACTTTAAGAAACCAGTGTTAATATAACATTAACAAAAGACCCTTTTGTCTTTGTTTCATTTTTTATTTTGTTTCTCACGTTACTTATGATTTTGGCTCTAGAAGGATTAAGTGTTAAGATTTCAGAATAGGTTACGAATGACATAGTCACACCTACATCACTCAAAGGCCAGCAAGAAGACCTTAGAGAAAAGCCAAATAAGCTTATGTCCTGAGTTCTAGAAGGTAAAAGCCATCACCCTAGATACCAGATAGATCCCTCTGGAGGACCCCTCTCTAACTTCTTCCACCCCTCTTCTGTCCCTGAGGCAAGCCATACAGAGAGAAGTTAATGTTTAATGGAAAAGATTTCAAAGAGAAAAAGGTTTTAATATAACCTTCTTTCTCAGAGAGATTCCATCTTACCAATCGCATCCTTTATACCCATTCACATGTGCCCAACTGGATCCTATATTGTTCTTCCAACTCTGTACCTATACCAAGGCCAGTTCACTTATTCCTGATAGTACTCTTTTTTTCAGATTTTATTTATTTGAGAGAGAGAGCAAGCTCCTGATAGTACTCTTTTTTCAGATTTTATTTATTTGAGAGAGAGAGCAAGACGGAGAGGGAGAAGTAGACCCCCCACTGAGCAGAGAGCCCGACGTGGGGCTCAATGTCAGGACCCTGAGATCATGACCTGAGCCGAAGGCAAGCACTTCACTGACTGAGTCACCCAGGCACCCCTTCCCGTGTCTGTTGGATGGAGGACCACCAGGCTAACTTGAGGGGCAGTCTCCCAGTCTCTCCTCCACATGCCCAATTTTCTGCAATTCAAATATATCAATTGGCAACAAAAGTAGAGGAAATAATCATAAACCTGGTTTAAAGTTATATCTTGATTGATATTTTGAATTAAAAAATTATTATTATTGTTTTATCTTTAAAGAGGTAATCTACTATCAGGAAATAAACAATTGGATTTAGAAGCCAAAGAAGGTTGCAGAAGCTTTTCACTCCCTGGAATGTATTAAAAGTATGATGCACTCTTACTCAGCAAAATGTTTAAAAACATCTCAATATGGAGCCTGGTAGCAGAATGCCGAGGTTTCATATGTGATCTCAACCATCATCGTTATTTGAGGGCAGACGATACAAGGACATATGTAGTTTGCTCTCTCTAACAGACACAGAGGCCATATAGTAAGAAGAAGAGTTCAGTAAGTGGCTATTTGCACTTAGATTCAGAAAATCAAAACCAAGTTCTTGATCACAGTATAGAGTTACTTCCCAAGAGTGTGAGTCTTGCATTCTAGAAATCATCTTTGTAAGAGTAATGGGATTTTGTCAGAGGATTCCTGGAGATACCTGTTTAGTTGAGGCTAAGGTGTGCCACATGAGATGAAGTACAGTGAATGGGAAGGGCATTTAGATCACCAAATTTCCACCGAATCCTCCCCCGGAATATTTTTTTTTCTTACAACTGGCAGCAAATAAGTAGCATTTAATGAAATAAAATGTAGATTTATTTTTAAAATATTAATCACATTTTCACTCCTCCCCCACCCATCCCAGACCAATCACAGATGTCCATTTTACTAATCCCTTGTCAAATTCTTTTTCACAACGACTCACTTTGACCCAACTGTACTGACTATCAGTGCCTTTATCTGGAATAAATGTTGAAAGAAGGCAGCTTCCAGTGGTCTTCCTCAAATCTTAAGGCAGCAAGGAAGGCCCCCCAAACCCATAAGGAATGAGTATGCTTCTGGCAAATCCAAGGGATTTTTCTGTACCTCACATGTTCAGGAGGCCCAAGAGCTCCCTGCAGAAGAAGGAACAGAATTAGAGGTCAAACCAATTACTGCTATACTCTAGTAGATAACTGTAGTCCAGACTTAGTAAAGTGCCTGTGCACACACTCCAAATTCTGACAAATAATTTTCTTTTTTCAAATTGACCATGAGCATTGATTGATTTGACGGCTTGCATTTTTTTAAAGATTTATTTATTTGAGAGAGAGAGAGAGAGTGTGTGTGCATGAATGGAGGAGCGGCAGAGGGAGAGAGGCGTCAAGCAGACTCGCACTGAGTATGGCTCCATCCCAGGACCCGGGAGATCATGACCTGAACCGAAACCAAAAGTCAGCCGCTTAACTGACTGAACCACCCAGGCGCCCCTGACTGCTTACATTTTTTAAAGTCTGGCTAGAGGAAGTATAATATACACATAATAAAATTCACCCTTTTCTGACAAACCCATACAGTTGTGTAACCACCACTGTAAGACATAGAACATTTCCACCAGAGTCCTCAAAGAGGACACTATAAAAACATGATGAAGGACATGCTCTGCGGCATACCTAGAGTAAATACAACAAACAATTCTATGCGGCTTCTTACATACACAGAGGGCTCTATTTTAAATAAATCACATCATTTTACCCCCTGCTTATAATTTTCATATGGCTTCTGGTGCTCTGGATTAGCAGTTCTTACCTGGCATGTATGGATAGAAATCTGGAGGTTCGTGAGTTTGGATGGCAAACATCAGTCTATCTTCACAAACTTGTAATTGAAACTTAGAATTTCTTTCAATTAGGAATAAAGGCAACAAACCATGACCCACACATTTTTGTCACATTACAGTTGTTACAATTACCTCAAACTATTGCTTATGCTAAGCACAATTTTGAAATCGCATTCGTCAGACTTGCTGCTAGATCTTATTTAATGCCAATAACAAAGAAGCACTTACATCACTATGTCACAAAGTTGCTTTCAATATTTTGATATCTGCATTTCAGTGTAGTTGGTTTTCTATTTAATCTCATGTATTTTATTTTATTCAACTAAAAGCATTACTCTTTGGAGTTAATAGGTTTCATCAGATTGACAAAGGGGCCCATGGCACAAAATTTAAGAATCCCAGCACTGGATGATGACCATAATTCTCAACAGATCTTTCTGAAGTCATACATTATTTAGTCCCTTCCTAGTCCTCAACTCCTATCTCATCATCTCCCCCAACAATGGCTTTTTACCCTGCAAAACATACACACACAAGACTGAACTACTTTCAGTTTCTTTGATGGCCCGGGTTCCCTCCCCCTTCCCTCCACTGCATCCTCTCAATTCTCCAACCCCATCCTACCCACCCTGCCACCTGGATAACGTTCACACATCCTTCAGGTTCTAGAAAACCTTCTGCCACCCCCCCCAACCCCGTGCACACCTGTATGACTCAGGTCACTTCACGCCTCCTCCAGATGCTCTAGATGCCCCAGCACCATTCCTACCACCTTTGTTGTAAAGGTATATCAGCTGTCTTCTTCATTAGACTCTAAGAGAGCTCTGTACGTACAGGGACCAAGAAGACTTTGTTCACAGTTCTAGCCCTAAAATCTAGCAGTCTGCCCCTTAGTAATTTAATATTTGAGTACATAGAAGACAGTAATTAGTTCCTTTCTGCCTGCAAGACTAAGCTAGAATTCTCTTTACAATCCTCCAAATTCTAAAATTATGGAATAGTCACTAATATTACATGCAAATTGATTAACCCAAACATGCCCGTTACTTCACCCTACTCATAATTTCCAGACTCTGTAGAAATGCTCTGGATTAGATTGTCTGATTGTTAGCTCATTCTAACTTCTCTTTTATTTAGATATCTTCTATGTGCCCAACATCCCAGACATCTGCCCGTGCACAGATAAACCAAGTGCTCTTGAAATTTCCCTTTGCCTTTATTAAACTCACCGCCTTTATACTCCTACCCCGGGTAAAAGCCCTACACAACACTCTCTTACATGAGGCTTGAAAGTCATTCACTTAGATGCTTCACAGAACGCTGCTAATGGGAAGAAGCCTGGAAGCTGTCTAGACAGGGTGGAGATGGGGAGAAGTTGGAAAGGGTGTGGAGGAGGGTGCTCTCATTCAAATTTTTTGGGGAATTTTTCAGAATACACATGCTCTTTATTCTCCTCCCCTCAATTCTAGCTCAATAGGTCTAGAGCCAGTGTTGAGGTCTGAATGGTTGAATTCACCTGTGATTCCTGATTCCAGCATTGGTCAATGGTGTGATGTGCTCATTAAAAAAATATTGAGATTGTGTATCAGGGACAGCCTTTCTCAACTCGGGTTTCCCATCTGAACCATAAGACACAGTGATTTGCTTGACTATTTTCTTAGTTGTCCCAAGGATGGTACCTAGTGCCATTCTAGGTATATAAGAGAGACAATAATTCATACAGATGCCTCAGGGCACTAGCCTAATTCTTTCATGTCACAGCACAAAGTCCCTCCTGTTGTGAGGAGAGATGAAAACAGACAAATAACAAATGACAGCTTTAATAAGTACTATGAAGACTATATAGAGTAGCGGGAAGAAGTGGTCAGTGAAGGTCTCTCTGGAGAGATATTTGATCTGAGACCTAAAGAATGAGAAGGAGTAAGTCCATGGACACAGCCAGGAACACAGCATACTAAAAGAACAGGACATACATGAGACCCCGGCCGACAGAATCTTGAGTCCTTGAGGAACAGAAGGAGGCCACAGGGAGGGGAACATGGTGAGGCATGGAGGGACTGAGACAACATGGGTAGGAGAGAGGGGCAAGACCAGATCATGTAGGACTCTATAGGGAAAGCTGAAGGCTCTGGATTTTATTGCAAGTGCTATAGGAAAGAGTAGTGTCATTATTTTTGTTCCTTCATTATCTAAGTTTTCATTTGTTTTAAGTAAATATGTAACAAGGTTTCTATGGGAGAACTCTCCTTTCCTTCAATTTCACACTAACTTCATTAGTGTGCAACCTGAGCAGTTGCCCAGGGCCAGCACTCACAAGGACTCCATGCTTGGTTTAACGCTCTACTATTGCCTTCTTGAAATTCTTGTAAGTTTTGACTAAGGGACTCCATATTTTCATTTTGCACTGGGCCCTGCAAGTTATATAGCCTGTCCTGTCCTTCAAACAGGGGAAAATAAACATCCATTTGCATTGTGGAAATTATGTAAAGAGCACTTGCTGGGGTGTTTGTAGCAGCCATGGGGATGAGCGCT